TCTAAATATAACAAAAATAGAAAAGGTCAGACACACCCAGGACTTCGATATTGCAAAAGGCATCAAATCAATAAACAGTAAATATCCAGGTCCTCTTCCAGTGTGTGACCAGGATGAAATCTGCCTGAAGTTGAATGCTTTTGAGTTGGTTTAACTGAAACCATGACTTTTATCAACTTTTTAAGGTACAATGTAAACAGTTCAAAATGTTTAGATCACAAAAGGTGGATATACTAACATATAAACCTAGGATACTTGTGATGATAAAAGCAAAATGCATAAAAGCGCATTATACAGAGTGGTTTATGGATTAAAAAACACTAAAGTTTGTTGTTGTTTTTAAATAAAAGTATCACCACTCTTACCAGAAATACCACAGATGAATGAAAGTAAATGAATCATCAGGAGAAGCAAGTCTCATTTGAAGATCGTTTCTAATAATATTTAGAATACTAACCTGGAGGAATTCTAGGTATACTAGCAACTTCAGAATCAAAATATTATGAGACAAATAAAAAGAAAAGGACAATTCCATCTTTTCATTTTCAAATGACCTAAGTAATCCTTAATAGATTTATTTGTTATAGTAGGCACCAATAATCAATCAATCTCTCCCTCCACCCCAAACCCATCAACCTTTCATTCTTTTCATTACAAAGAGATAGTTACAGCTCAAGGGCTTACTTAGAACATTTACTAAGAGACATGGCAATCTCTGTAACAAGCTTCTTAAATTCTGAAGGTTTGGGTTTATTATAGAAAGGGAATTTCATAAAAAACTAGGGACATTTGAAAATAAACAATAATTGTAGGTTATTTACTAAATTGTTTCATTATATCATGAAAAATGCAGTATATATTAAGATAAATACCTGACTACTTGTCTTGAAACCTACTGAAATATGCCCTTTGAAATAGTGAACTTTATATTCAAAAATCTAAGTCTATGTTAGCACTGCGTTATGATGCTATCAAAGTGACTACCCCATCACCATAAACACCCAATATTATGTCAACAGAAAACCCTGTTTCCAAAAGGAATGGTGTAAATTAAAAGGATAAGAAATTCATAGTAAGTGTCAAACTTTGCACAAAAAAAAAAAAGGATGATCTGATTTTTTAAATCCTGCTTTTCAAAGTAAAGATAGGTCAAGCCTACTGGCTTTTAGTTTTAAATGGTAAATGACTTTTCTATCTGGAATACCCTGGAAACTGCAGAGCTAGATTTGTAATTAAAACATACTTGAAACTATATTAGCAAATGTGTTAAGGGGTGTAGACGCTTAGAGAGCATCTAGTTCAAGTCATTCTCTTTAAAATAAAGAAACTGAGGCTGGGAGACCTCATGACTCACTCAAGGTTAGTTTTGCCGTGTCCAAGCTGCCAGGGGAATGCCAATCTGCATGACACAGCGAGGTCAGTGTCCACCGTGAGCTTTACATTCAGCTTTTGCCATAATTTACTTTACAGTGTGGCACTCAGACATCCATTTGCTGGAAATTATTAACAGATAGATGACTTTTGTCACCACTCTCACAGAATGCCCAGAGCCTGCAAAGTGCAACACACACTTCTCAGCAAAAAAATTACTCATTTTTTGTCAGCTTGAAAATTTAATCTGGAGTAGAATCATTTTTCTTATTTGAATAGGACACTCCTTCCTTGGCATAACAGCCAATAAGGCGAACACAAGTAAAGTAATATCTTTCTTTTTTGTTAACTATCACTGGGTGTACACAACAGCAGAGACCAGGGATTTTCAACTTTTGGAACTCAAGACGCATTTCCCCTCCTAAAATATATTGAGGATACCAAAGAGCTTTGGTTCCTATAAATTATATTAATTTATCATGATTAGAAATTACAGCTAATGTTTATGTTAAATCATTTGAAAATAAGTCATTGTATGTTAACAGATACATTGTATGTGGTGATGTGATGATTTGGAACAAATATATAAACAAACTCTGGTACAACACAGATATGTTGTTGGAAAAAGGTCTTTTTTAATGGTCTTTTCAGATGAGTGCAGATATTATTCTTTGACACTACCTTGAAAATTGACAGTAAGTAGTTTCTTAAAAGTGAGTTGCAATGTGGAATCTGAAAGCATGGATATCCCTGAACTTTTCTTACACTATTCCATTAAAATTCATTGGTCTATCTTCCATTTCCAATGGGTTTTTTACCAATGCATAACTTCTGACCTCATGAAACTCCTGAAGTCTCAGGAACCTCAAACTGTATTTTGAGATCTACTAGAAAACAGTTTAATAGAATTCAACTAAAAAATAAAGAACGCTATAAAACCTACAGCAGTTCCACACTGCCTTGATCCTTTATAATCTTTAATTTATTAATTTATTCAACATTCTCTAACATGGGGTATCATCATTATATATTAAGAAATGGGCAAAACTATTGGATTTTTGGTCCAAAAGGCACAAAATAATGAAGCTTAGACGAGGTTAAATTAAATATTATGACATAGACTAAATTCTAGAAAACGACCTAAATTTCCTCTGATCTTTGAGCCTTTATGCTAAGAAATGATCAAAACAAATAGATTTGGATAATATTCACCAGGAAAAAAACTATAACTATCATCTCTAAGAGACTTCAAATAACATTTGAGCTTTGATATTAATATTTTTGGAAAACATTAACTAGCACACAATACCAGCATATATGTAAATGAATACCCTCTGGCTTTACCCGTGGTCGGCAAACTGCAGCTTGAAAGCCACATGCGGCTCTTTGGCCCCTTGAGTGTGGCTCTTCCACAAAATACCATGGCCTGGGCGAGTCTATTTTGAAGTGGCATTAGAAGAAGTTTAAAAAATTTGGCTCTCAAAAAAAATTTAAATTGTTGTACTGTTGATATTTGGCTCTGTTGACTAATGAGTTTGCAGACCACTGGACTACACTAACACATACAGAATTTTAGAATACTCAAACCGACACCAGATAACACCTCCAGGGCCCACAAATGCAGGGTAAGTTCAAGGTCACTGATTCACAGTAATATGTTTCAGGCTAGGTAATCAGGAGGTGCTTCATGAGTCAACAAAAAAGCATAAATAGAAATGCAGTAGAGACAATGTCTGGTGCCTAATCATAAATTTTTTAATCAGAGTAGAACTTACTCATAAGAATTATCAATAAATAATCTTTAACTATGTACATAACACTCTTTAAAAATTTTGTCGAATTCCATTATCAGGAAGAAAAAGAAAACTAAAAAAAAAAAAAAAAAAAAAAAAAAAAAAAAAAAAAAAAAAAAAAAAAAAAAGGAAAGAATGTGAAAACAGCTTAGATTTAATTAAATTACCAGTCATAGCTAAAATGTATAGAAGGTATGCTTACAAACCAGGTGATATTCAAAGGGCTTCTCATAAATTAAATCTATTTAATTTTCTTTTTTCAGATACGAAAACCACAACCCAGAGAGGGAAAGGGAGGTGCACAAGAACATGAGGCAATTAAGAGGCACAGCTGGGATTTCAACCAGGGCAGCCCTGCTCTTAACTACCAGGCTGCATTCCCTCAGACTAACTCACTGAAAGTAACATCGCTTACCTAAGTATCTACATTATGCACCAAATTTCCTTAAGTAAATCAGAGCACTAGCAGAATACAGGCTGAGTTTGGTTCTGATGAAAGCTAGACTATCTACTGTGCCCTGTTAAAATTTGAATTTAAGAGAGAGAGAGAGGCAGCACTAAAATGTAAGAATGTATCTTTTATGAAATATCTGCTCCCATAAAAGCAAGAGGAGTCAGGTTTTAGACAATGATGAGAAAAAGAATGCACAAATTAAAGTTTTTTTGCTCTTGGTTTGGAAAAAACAAAAACAAAATAGAAGGACAGAGACATAGGAATATACATATAACCTATGGCCTAGTCATATTACCCACAAAATTGTTTAGGAAAATGTCCATATATTCCTAGACGCCAAAGGAACGAACTATATCAAATAAATCTGTTCTTTATATGTCCAATAAAGGAATCATTTATTACAACCGTGTAATAAAAATAGTACTGAAGCGAAGTCCAATGCAAGCATTCATTATATAACTTAGAACCACCCTTTCGTCATATCTACAACCTCTTGTTTTTTTAAATATATCAGTATGCTATCTGCAATGAGGAAAGCCAAGAGATATTTTACAGTAAGTTATGTATGTCTTCTTGCAGATCTTAAGTTATAAATATACCAATTCAAAACGGCAGTAACAGATCTCTTCCAATATGAGTAAGAAAGCAAGACTGTCCACTTAGTAATTTTAGCTGTGCTGAGTCTTTAAAAGCTCTCAAATGTTAAGGAAATCGTTTATTTATATTGAAAAACCACAACTTACATACAATTAACCTAACCAGAAAAGGACAAAGAGAGTGGGAAGCTCGAGGGTAACAGATTTGAGGTTCAATTTCATTTTTCACAGGCAATGAAGTGATTAATAAAGAAAAGACAGAAAGAAAAGAAGTCTAAAACCACAAAGAAACGAATTTAGAACAATTTTAGCGAACCAGTATACAGGTAAAGAAAAAGAAAAAAAAAAAAATATATATATATATATATATATATATATATATATATATATATATATATATATATATATATATATATATATCTATCTGGCACTAGTTTGCTAAAGTAAACCTAGTAACAGGCAGCAGAAAACAAACTTTCCAAAGACCGACAACAGGCAACGTGGCAAACACCTATTCACACTCCTTCAAAATCAACACATCTGTTTTCTCAGAGATTTTAAGAACTTTTTGTTTCTCCATTTTTAAAAAGCAGTAACATTCTACCAACAAGCAGCGGGTGGTGGTGGTGGTGGGGGAATGACGACACTAAATGACCATCCTAAAAATATAACTAAACCAGTAAACTGAAATGTGCTTCATTTGTCAACTGCAAATGGAATGCTAGCCTCTCTCACATGTTATCAAAGCCATGATTTTCAACAAGGAAGAAAAAAAAGCCAACTTACTTGGATACATTTTCTGGAATGTACTCTAGGACCGGGTAGCCGTCGCTTCTCCGAGAGGCCAGGTCACTGTGGGATTTCCACGACTCCACTAAGGTGTTGACAGGAGGAAAGGAGCTCAGGTGTTGGAAAGACTGGTCTCTGGCCGCTCGCGATAGAGAGATGGTACCTTGAGCACCAATCCTGTAGTGAAAGGACTGTCCACCCGAATTCACACCGACGATGGCGGAGGACGGGATGCTGGCCTCGGGGTAGTAGCTCCCGTCGTCTGGCTCCTGCTTGATGCCCACGGGGAAGCCGCTGCCTTCGCAGCCGCCATCGAAGCCGGGCACGGGCGGCCCTAAGATTCCTGATAGAGAGTAATAGTCTTTGTCATCCATAAAGGAAAAGTAGGAGCTATCCATGAAGGGAAACGGGTTCACGGATGGATTCCCTTTGAAAGAGGTGCCCGAACACGAATGCTTGGCCGATTCCTGCTTGATTGGTACTGAGAACGGGGAGGCGGGCGTTGTCTTGCTGTGTCCTCGTAGACACGAGCTGCTGAAAACCCCATCTGGCTCCGGCTTTATGTACGGGACGATGTGCAGCTGGCCCGTCACACCGTTGGAGGTGGCAGTCTCCACTTCCTCCGTCTTGGGGAAGGAGGCCTCGTGAGCACTTTTCTCTTGTGTGTCCGGACTGGAAACGGCGTCCCGGGCCGCCCCGGGTCCCAGGGGGGTGCCCGACGCCGTGTAGCTGAAAGCATTGCTCCCGGGGCTGCAGATGGAGCCCACGGTACTAGCCGTGGGGCTGGAGAGTGTGGATCTGTTATTGGTGTTCGAAGGGCTGGACACGGAGCACCTGGAGTTGTGGACGTTGGCCGGGCTGGACACTGCAGATCGCAGAGGGACGTTGGGGCTGGAGACGGGAGATTTCACGCTGCAGTGACTCGGAGGGCTGGACACGGGGGATTTCCTGCTACTTAACGGGCTGGAGAGGGGCGAGCCCACGTTGCTGGCATGCGCCGGGCTGTGGGACCTGGAGCCGCGGGTCTCGATATTCGGGGAGCAGGTCAGGGGGGTCCCCTGGGTGATGGGGCTGTGCACTGTGAAGTTGCCGAAGCTGGCCGAGGTGGAGGACACGGAGCTGAGGCCAGCGGGGCTGCACGCTGAGGATGCCATGGTCAGAGGGCTGCAAACAGACGAGCTCTTCTCGTGACACAAGAGGGGGCTTTTGACAACCGTGCGCATGACCCCGCCATTCACCGAGCTCCCGGAGTCAGCCAGGAGCGGCCGCAAGGGCCTGCTCATCCCCACGGCGGCGGAAGGACAATGGCCGTTTTCTTTGTAAAATTTCACCAGCTGTTCGACGTTCTGGTAGATCTTTGCCGGACTCACGCTTCCTTGCTGGTTCTGCGGGTCATAGGGGTACTCGGCATCTCTGATGGAATCCATGTAGAGGCCCATGGACTCGGCTACAGTCACGGAAAGTTCCTTAGATTCCAGCTCGGTTTTAATTTCAGATGTTAAAATCCCGGGCCGATTGCTGTCTTGCTGAAGGCAGGGGAGTAGTTCAGGTTTTTCGTGGCTGCTTCCTTGAGTACTGTTGTTTGGAATAGCACCGGAAACACAGCTTACGTTGACAATCTCCATGTAGTTGCTCTCATCGGTCCTCTCGGTAGGCCCCAGGGATGAACGGTCCACGGCCTGAGAAACTTGACCCCACCGTCTTTCCATATCTAGACCTTCCGGGAGACTGTGGTAGCCTTTGGTCTCCATAGCTAACAAATAAATTTATATTAAAAAAAATTGAATTAGAGTCATTTATAACAGCACTCTAACATTATTCTTAATTCCACTTACTAAGCCAGCAATTTTTAACGGGTGTGCTGCAAGATTTTTTAAAACGTGCAATGCCTGACTGTTTTGTCAGGGGCACTGACTTTTTTCTGTTTGATCGTCAAGTAAAAATATGGCAACAGCCAACACAACAACAGCTGTCCAATGTGAATGAATCAAAATTATATATATATATAATCAGATAGAAAAAAATATAACATGATTTTGGGTGTGCCACAGAATTTTAGTAATTAGCATGTGCCAGGAGATGAAAAAGGTTGAAAATCACTGTACTAAGCTATAAGTGCATATTCTACTTATTATAAGCAACGCTTGTATTAAAATTGTTACCTGTCTAGGTGCTGATACAACAGAGCACTGACTATAACTTGTCCAGAAGCCAGACTATAAGAAGCAATTATAAGAAACTATTTTTATCCAATAAAAGAACACATTTCTATAATACAGCCCCTAGAGTTTACAAAGAATATTTACAAATGTTAACTTATTTAATATTTAAAGTAATCCTGGGGACCTTGCGGTAAACAAAAAGGAAACCGAGGACTCAGTGAGGTAGGTGGCTTGCCCAAGGTCAAAGAGGTAAGTGACAAAGGCAGGTTTAAAATGAAATATTCTAACTCCAAAGCCTTTTGAATCTTTGGGGTATATGGAAGATACTTTCCATATCTAAAACATGGCTTTATTAAAAATAATAAGAAAAAGGTAATCAATGCTACCATTTCCCAATATAAAGTTATGGAGTAAATTAGCACAGGAGAAAAAAAAAACACAGTAAGATTGATTGTGATCAAGATAAATGAATGTCAAGTCTAAAAAGTAAAGATTCATCTATCCTGATTAATTAAGATGGTCCAAAGCTCAGAGAGGCTATGTCGGGAATGGCAGAGCTCTTCTCTGCGTTTCAGTCCTGGTGAGAACTGTGATGGGCACCCTGACCTAATGGTGTTCCTCTTGCTACAGAGACTCCTGGCAGACGGACAGTTTCAGTCTCCACTCTAAATGGAAGAAGTTCAAGGTGGGTCCTGACAACTTACGTGGTCATCCATTCAACAAACACCCGGGATGTGCTACATCCTGGGCCTACAGCCGGTCACTGACTCTATGGTGATAAAGAAAACAGGCACCGTCTCCATCCTCAGGGAGCCCAGAGGATTACTGTAGATATACAAGCACATCCATTGGCGCTCTCTCTGTTTCACTGACATAATTATTGTAGCAGGCTATATTTATATAATTCTTATGCATCATATAATTCAGTGCGATACTATAAGCCCTTCACAAACATTAACTCATTTACCCTTATAAATATAAACAATCCTTTAAGATTGGTAAAAGTATTACCCAAATGATACAAGTGGGGAAACCGAGGCATGTGGCACACAGCTAAGTGGCAGAACTGGAATTTGATCCCACGCCCCTCCCTCCATAAGGTTATCTCAACTTGGCTGTTCTTTTGGGCCTGATAATTCTTTGTTGTGGAGATCTGTCCCATGCACTACAAGATGTTTATCACATCCCTGACCCTTTCCCACTAGATGCCAGTAGCAGTCCCAATTGTCCCCGGTTGTGACAACCAAAAATGTCTCGACATTGCCAAATGTTCCCAGAATGGGGGGAGGGAGAGAATACCTCCCACACTCACCACTGAGAACTACCACAATAAAGAAAACTAACTTATTATGAGTAAAAATTTCATTTGCACACTGCACTATATACAGTAAACCTCCTAAAATTATTATGCATTCATTTTTCAAATCCTTTTGGTTGTGTAAACAAACTACGACCCAAATTAAGTTCCTGATCTTAAACGTGCTGTTTCTGCAGATCTGGGCACAAACATGACTTTTGGCCTCTCATCTTTTCTCCCGCTTTGCCACTCACATCTTCATCCTTCCTACCTTCCTCTCATTAAAAAGAGGCTAGGAAGTCCTTGTGTTACAGAACTTGTATTAACTGATATGCAAAAATGATGATGACTCTACCAAATAAATTGGCAATAGCTATGAGAAGGCTCTGCAATGACATTTAATGCCCAAATTGTCTGCATATTATAACTACCTCTAACTTTTCTGTATTCTACAGTAGAATGTAAGGTCCCAGAAGGCAGGAGATTTATAAATTTCACCACTGCATCCCAAGCTAATAGCATAGTGAAAAAAAAAAGTGAACCATTATAATCAATACTCACTAATTTATGACCATAAATTAAAACCTTTCTATTATGTAGCCTCCTTTTACTTAAGGAGCATTATTCTATAATATAAATTCCTAATCACAGAACCCTGGAAAATAAATCAAACTACAGAGGCTGAGGTGGTTATCTTGTAACTCTGGCAAAAAAAAAAAAAAAAAAAAAAAAAAAAAAAAAAAAAAAAAAAAAAAAAAAAAAAAAAAAAAAAATATATATATATATATATTTAGTAAGGATAAAAGCCAAGCAAACGTTGGGAAAAACCACACCTCACAACAACTACCCAGTATAATGGGATAGAAATGGCTATCACTGGCATTTTCTCCTTTTCTAAATACCATTTAGTCATAGTCATAGGTTGAAAAAGACCAGTAAACATTATGTGCTTTCCCAACTTCTACCTGAGAAAATTCTGCCCACCCCATACCAAACTTGAAGGGATGTACATCTAAGATATAGATGTTTTGGCTCCAAATTCATTCAGCACCACAAGTAACAAGGCTGTCTATTCGTGTTCAAAACTGAGCACCTTCTGTGTATCACCACTCACCCCTCAACCCAGTCCCTACACCCATGGCCCTTGTCCAGTAAACTGCACCACCCTCTGCCCAGATGCCTGGAACTCACCCTTGCCTAAGCATCTTTCCTACAGGCCTGCACCGACCCACCCCTTCCCACTGCCACATGGACAGCCTCTTCCTCTCCCCAGGTCCCGGGAAACAGGCCTATCTTCCCTGAGTCTGAAGGGAAATCTCCATGCAGATCCCTCTCCAGAATTCCACAGTTTAAATTCTCTTTCGGGAAGGATGATCACGTACTGCCTGTTTAAAGGTCCCCTGTGGAAATCTGCATGCTAAAACTCGGGCAGCTCCACAGGGCAGAGACCTGTTTCCCTCTGAATCCAGCATTCCCTAGGGGCCACTGCACCCTTCCTGCACAGGACACCTACTGATATTCCAAGGAACATTTTTTCATCACTTTGCCCGTAAGTTGGAATCACAGCTCAGGTTTGTGAATTTACGTGAAGATGTGAAGAGAATCTATATGGGAGATGGCGGGAGAGGACAATCTTAAACTGAAAGCAAGCACCTTATCAACTAACATCACGCAGCTGACCACAACTTTCCAAGTCCTGGTTAGCCATCCTTAAACTACCTTAACAGTAACATAGATAGCCCTGCATTTCACTACGTTATTGACAGGGCTATCATTATAGAATTTGCAACAGGCTTTGCTGAAATCCAAATTAGCTTTGCAGGTATTCTCATCTATCAACCTAATGCAACTCTCCACAAAAAAAAAAAAAGCACAGAGTAAAGGTTGGCAACAGTCAAATAGAAAAACAGAGGACATCAAGCATCTGCATGCGTGGCTTCCGCTGGAAAGACTTTTAAAGATCAGATGTTTTTCAAAAAATAGTTTTATTGAAATATTTTACTCTGAGTTCGCCCTATTATTTTAACTCAACTCCTCTGTAAAGAAATGTATCCGGTTAGAGAAATTTATTTCCTATGTTGTCCAGGAAACCCAAGTTGTTGTCCTTTTGGAATTGGCATAATGACCATGATGGTTTCAAGAGAATTTCGGTCAACTGCAACTTACTAGTGAATACTAAAAATACTAGTTGGTGAATATGATTCTCATAGAACTTACTAGCCACAGGGTAAAGGGTCAGTTTTTTATTACTATCCTATAGTATACTGGTATAGAAACCTAGCTTATATAAAATGAAATTTGTCTCCTTTACAATGAGGATTACAACAGAGACCTTCTCTGGACAAAGTTAAAAAAAAAATTAGAACCCTTTAATTTTCATGCAAATGGCTTCTCCACAAAACATAATGGAAATTTCACATAAGAAAAGTAAGGGCAAGCTCTGCTAGAAGTTCTACCTTAAGCCATATGTATGCTCTTAAATACCATTTTTGCAAAGGAAAAATCTGACTGTAAAATTTTACGTCTTATACCCTGTATTAAATTGTCCCTTTCCATAAGGAAGTAGTTGTTGTTGTTGTTTTTTCAGAAATATTAACAAAGACTCCTGCAAATGTTTATTTTATCTGAAAACATTTTCACTTTTAATATTCCCCAATAGTTCCATTTTAAATGCATCATGTTCTATAGTTATTTCACTATAACATGGCATCTAAAAGACCAGACTCAAGAATTTCACAATTTTCACTGGTTGCATAGTTGTCAAGTTTGTTGTATGTAACTATTTCTCTGTCATCCCCACTACAGAACCATGATTATGTCCCCCTCCTTTACAGATGAGGTAAATGATAGAAACCTGCCCAAGGTCACCTAAGAGAGCAGGAGAACCAGTTAGAACCGCGCACACCTGATTTCTATTCACTCGCCTAATTCACTGAGCCACCTGATCTTTCCAAAATCCCCAAACAAAACTACTTCTTCTCCCTTAAAGGAAAAAGCTCCCCTTTAGATTTAAAAACAACTTCTCTCCTCGACCATTTCCATGAGAGCATGCCATGAAGTTACACATAAAATTAAAACTTCGCAGCAGAACTTCGCAGATGTAGAAGGCTGTCATCATTACTATGTACATATCATCAATAACAGCACCTGGAGAAATGGAGGAGATGGTGCATTGGGGACTCAGCATGTTCCTAAATTTGCCTGCTATCAAGTAAAAGTTTTCCTAACTCCTATGAAATAACAGTTAAAAGCGAGGGTGCCATAAACCATTATGGTTTAAACCTGATTTTTAAAAATTCAGTAGGAAAAGCCATGCACCTAAATTCAGTAGGAGAGTATGGGTGCCACCCAAAGCAGCTTCATCCCTTACCCCCTGCCTTTAGAATGCCAACTGATGCCACGGAAAGATCAGCTCTCTCAAGAGTTTCATGAATGCCAAGGAATGGGGAATTCACGGATTTCCAGAGCCTCCCTCACGCAGGAGATCTATCAGGATCGCTATCTCCTTCAGCTGCCCTTAATAAGCTACCCCTCCAGCTATGATTTGGGTGTTTCTGCAATGGATAGAGGAGAGACATTATTATTCAAAAGGTCCTTTAAAATAAAAAGCGTACAAGGCGAAGGACCCGAAATTCATCCTGGGGAAAAAAGAGAAGGGTGATGATAGACCTCCCACTGCCAAAAGCGGCTGAAAGCCGCTCGTTAGAGGGCATTTCTCCAAAGTGGCCAAACTTTCCCAAAATAGTCCTCTGGCGGCCAAAGCGGGGGGGAGGAAAAAAAAAAAAAGTGGAAAACCAAAACAAAACAACAAGCATACAGCCCCAAACCGGCTTGTGCCTCCGAATTACGCAGCCACTTCTCCCGGCAAAGTGCACGCTCCCGCGCCGCGGCCGCACGCCCGGGCCGGCGAGCGGCAGCCCCGCCGCGCACCCCCACACACACCTGCCTCGGCCGGGGTCCGTCTCCGCGTCTACCTGTTGCAGCTCTCGCCAACGCTATGACACTCCAGCTGCGGAGCCCCCCCAAATCCAACCACATCCAGGCCAGCGGGCTGCCGCTCCCCTGTAGCGGGAGCGCCCGGGGAGGCAGCGAGGCTCCTGCACCCAGGTGACTGCTGCACGGGCTTCCTCCCGCAGCCTGAAGTTGGCTCGCGTCTCCCCCGTCCAATGACACCCCGGGCGCGGAGGGGCGGAGAGGACCCGGCAGCGGGGCCCGGGGTAGGAGCGGGGCTTGGGGCGGGCAAAAATGGGGAGGGAGAGAGGAGAGAGAGGGCGGGTCGAAGCCCGGAGGGGGGGGGAGTGGGTCGGCTCCAGCTCCTTTTAAATGCGGGTCACATGTCCAGATAAAGTTCAGGTTGATATCCCGCCCCCCTCCTGAGCGATTGGCCCAGGGGGAAGCAGAGCTCCACGCTGCCTGGGCGAGGGTGGCTTCTCATTGGGCAGTCGCGGCTGTCAGTCACCGGGAGGACGACATGACTGATACAAAGTTGCTGCGACACAGCCTGGACTGGCAGCTCCCTTAAAGCCGCAGCTGCGGCGGGCTTTTTGGGGTGCGGAGCGGCGGCTACGACTCTGGGCAGGAGGCCCCTCCTCCGCACGCTGACACTTCCCCCCCACCCCCACCCCGCGCTCAGCTTCCCCTTGCCATCTGGCTCTCCTGCCGACCCTGAGCTCTCCGAAAAGACGTGCAAAGTGTGGTGACGCGTAAAAGTCGGCTTTTCCGAGAGCCAGTCCAGGTGCAACCCCCTCGCGCTCTCCACCTGCGGCGCCAGGTGACGGGCAGCCCCGGCCCGGGCGCTGCCCTCCGTGGCCACGCACAGGGCAGGGCTCCCTCCCGCGGGGGCTGCACCGACCCCCGCGGTCCTCTCCGTGCCCCTCTCCTGGGTCTCCCCAGTTACCTCTCAGCAGAGCAGCCGCAGCGGCTGCTGCCAGCCTGCAAGAGGAGGATCACGTTCCCACTTGATTTGAATTTCCTTGTTTTAAACCTTGCAGGAAAAGTGGGTGCTTTCAGCGTAGCCGAGCCTTTTAAACACAGCCTCCCACCCACTTCCTCACCCCCCCACCCCCAACCAAAAAAAAAAAAAAAAAAAAAAAAAAAAAAAGTACCAGGGTCATGAGCTGCTGCGCTCTCTCCTTATAATTCTGTTACTGTACTTACTACTCAGTGTTGGATTTTTCCACTAGTTCCATTAGGAAGGAAAGCCTTCGATGGAGGATAGTCACTTCTTTAGAATGGGTGGGAGTGGTGCAGATAATTGGGGGGGAAACATACAGAAGAGGGGGAAGGAGCCCAACTATTGTCGAAGGACACACAGCATCTGCAAGAAGACGTTTCCAATATTCCCTCCAACCGCCCGCTGCCCCTACCTCAACTCTCCTCCCGCCCACTCAAACTCTGGGCTTCTTAACTTCGATATCTAAGCAGGACTTGGATAGTCCGCGGACGAGGCTCGGTTTTAGGCTCCCCGCTGGCTCCCAATCAGCGCCAGTGACGCACACCCCTAAATCTGGTACCCGGGCCCTCGGCGACCTGCCCGCCTGCAGCCCGCAGCCGGGCGCCAGCAGCTGCCCAGCCTCCCGCCTCACCCTCGCCCCGCGCCCGCCTAAGTCGTGGGGAAGGCGCTCGCCCTGCGCCCAAAGGCCCCTCTCCGCCTGACGGTTAGTGAAGCTTCGGGATTTCGGACCCTGGAAGCAAGAAGACTCTAACTTCCAGCCATTCCAGGCAGGGAAAACTCCCTGCTAGCGGAGGCGACAGGGACCGCGCGGGAGGGCTGGTCCCGGTGCCCACTCAGATGTCCGGCATCCCCCTGCGCAGAGCGACCCCCGGCGTCCCAGCTGCCGGGAGTCCCGGCCGAGTGTCCCCACACTCCCGAGGGGCCCGCTGTCACCCGCGCCCTCCCAGCCCGGCAGCACGGGGTGCCGATCGCGCTCCGGCGGAGCGCGGGCGGCAGCGGGAGCGAGGGGAGTCCCGGAGGAACCGGCGCCCGGGCACACGGGAAAGCGGCAGCGGCCGTTCAGCCTGCGCTGCCAAATTATTCATTATTAAAGGAATGGCCGTGCCTGTTTTACTAAGTTTTTTCCCCCCCCTCCTTTACGGGGAGAGCCCATTTTGCCCTGGATCTCAGCTTCTTGCAAAATCTAGGTTAGGACGGTCCAGAGACGACAGCCGCTGCGATCGCTCGCTTTGCCCGCGCCCAGCAACCCTGCCCAGAGGCAGCCCGGCGGGCACCCAGTCTCCTGCCCGCAGTCCACCTCTGCGTGGACCCAGCCTTCACCAGGGCCGCCCCTGAGCTGCCCGGGTCCCCTCCCGCCGCTGTCAGTGCAGTGACTCGCTGCGCTCACCTTTTCTAGGACATGGTAGGGAGGCTGGGACGCGGGTGGAGGGAGGGGGGGTGGCAGCGAGACTCCCGCCGCCGCCGCCGCCGCCGCCACCAGCAAGTCCAATATGGGCAGATCGGCAATAGCGATGGAGAGGATGGTAATCCCGGCGGCCGCCCTTCGGACGGTGGGTAGAGCGATAGAGCAGCGGTGTTGTCACCCCGCAGGAGCAGGCGAGGCGCCGGTGCCAAATGGCTCCGAGGGGGACGCGGGAGCCCGCGCGCCCCCAGCAGCGGCGGCTGGCCTCGGGCGGGCCTCTCTCTCTCTCTCTCTCTCTCTCTCTCTCTCTCTCTCTCTCTCTCTCTCTCTCTCTCTCTCTCTCTCTCTGGGGCGTCTGGTCTCCCGGGCGTTGACAGCGGCCCCGGGAGCCTGGGAATTCCGCGGGGTGATCCCGAGTCCACTGCCCCGCAGCGCGGCTCTCCGCGCCCCCTCCCCAGGCCCAGGGTGGCCAGTGACAGCTCGGACGTCGGAGTGTGTGTGAGTGTGTGTGTGTGTGTGTGTGTGTGAGTGTGTGAGTGTGTGTGTGTGTGTGTGAGTGTGTGTGTGTGTGAGAGAGTGTGTGTGAAAGTGTGTGTGTATGTGAGTGTGTGTGTGTGAGTGTGTGTGTGTGTGAGAGTGTGTGTGAAAGTGTGTGTGTATGTGAGTGTGTGTGTGTGTGTGTGAGTATGTGTGAGTGTGTTAGTGTGTGTGTGTGTGTGTGTGTGTGTGTGTGTGAGATGGGGAGGCCGCGAGGGGAGCTCTGGGCTCCGAGGCCCCCTCCCAGGGTCAAGCCCTCCCCATCCGGAGAAGGTAGCAAAGCGCCCAGCCACCGCCTGGTGGGAGACGGGCTAGGGGTGCCAGGGGCCGCCCTCCCACCCCAGCTGCAGGTGGGGAGGAGGCCAAGAAAAAGACGGAACCCCAGTGCACGGAGCACCCTAAACCTCACTTGAGGCTCCCCTCCCCCCCAAAGTCCGGCCCGGCCTCAGGCCCCAGCCTCAGGTGCAGTTCCCAGCTGCGGGGGGCCGTGCGGACTCTTTGGGGGCGGGAGGGAAAAGTTTCTTTTCCTGCTCCCTCGCTGCCCACCCGGGGAGGAGGCAGCATCTCTCCTCCTCCTCCAGGCTCTCTGCGCCTCTGTCCCATCCCCACCATGGGGGGGCGCCGAGGACCCGCTGCGTTTCTGCGGCGGGGGCGTTTGGGGGAGGGGGAGAGGGGTAGCGGCGGCCGCCCCGGGCCCCCAGCTCTGCCAGCCGCTGAGACGCGCGCGGCCGCGGGTCCCGGGAGCTGCGGGAGGCAGGAGCCGCGCGCCGGGGCCCCTTCCCCGCGGCTCTCGGAGCGCCGCGCGCCCCCGCGCCCGCCGGGGCAGCACCTACGCAGACGAGAAAGTGAAAGGGGGGCGCCCCAGCCGGGGAGGCGGCGGGTGGCACGCGCGTGCGGGAGCGCGCGGTTGGGGGGTGGGGGTGGGGGAGTGGGTGGAGGATGTAGTGATCCAGGGATTCTCCTGCTCCCCCTGCCCTTCGCAGCTGCCTCCTTGCTCAGAAGCTTCTTTGAAACCCCAGGTGACCTACACCCCGCTATCGGAGCTGGGGATGCATGTTTTACTGCGCGACAGGCGTCAGCCCCAGACTGTTCCACCGCACTGGTACCCTTACCGCGGGTGGGAGATTGGGGTGGGGGTACTGGAGGGGATGTATTGTGAATGTCATTACCACTTACAGTCTCCTCTGCTTGTGGTCCTTTAGGACTCAGGTGAACCCAGAGAACTGGCTATGTACACCCCTTTTCAGGTTTAATATCCCCCCACCCCCCTACAGGCTCTACTGGAACCCTCCCCCCGCCCCCGCCCTGCCTAATTCTGGGTTCTTTCACGTTTTCTTTCTAAATAGCTGTGAAAATTGCTAATCCCTTCCCACATTAAGTCCTGTTAAATCCGAGCCGCCCTGTTAAAACAATCACTACCTTTCTTTGACCACATTCCCACTGTGGGAATATCAACCTTCCCATTTCACCCATCACCCACCCAGGCAGTGTTGGTAGTACTTAATTCTTAGATGGCTTCGAGTGGCATTTTGGCCTCTAGCAAAATGACCTTTTGCCTCAGTTTCCTTATTTGTAGGGAATGTGGAATCCTTAAAATATTTAGGTGAATTAAAAAAATAATAACAATGTATTTTAAAATTACCATATTAAAATATATTCAATGAAATGTTTAAAGAACCTCTATTTAAAAGTTTACTGACTACAAAAAAAAAACCTGATTTTTGAAATGCATCAAATTTTAGATGGATTGAGATTGGTGGGTTGATAAAGTAGACAGAAGGATAATAGATATCTGATAAAGCATACAATATTAATGGTAGATTCTAAGTGGTGGGTATACAGCTATACACCGTAAAATTTTTTCAACTTTTTTATGTGTTTGAATTTTTTCATAATGAAATGATAGAGAAAACCCTTATTTGTGGTAAACAAATATTGTAAGTTTTCTGTTTACAAACTTGGTCAATTAATCTTTCTTCTCACTTTACAAAATGATTACCATACACATTCTATACCTAGGTACCCCACTGGTACTTAGTCAATAATTCCATTACAGACTGCTTGGTGGGGATCAGACTATTGTGTTATAACTAGAACATTTTAGAATTTGGAAGCTTTTACTTTTTATTTTTTTATTTTTGTGTCCATTCTCAATTTTTGTTTTATCTTCCCTGCCTTTAAAAGTTTGTTATTATATAACTGAGATTGAATTCTTCAGGATCTATGGATATTCTTTTGAAATCTTTTCACACCAAAATAGCCTCAGGAGATGGTCCATACATCCATACATATCAGCTTCTACTACCCTTTGGGAGAGATGTCAAGGGATCTTGCAATAAATAATGTTTAAAACTTTGCTTTTGGATATCTGGGTATCTAGATATTTGCCCAAACGTCTGAACAATTAAATTTCCATTTTCTCTTCATTTTCTTTTGCTGGCTGTAAAAGGAGAGGTGGCCCCTGCCCCTCCTGAAGGGATAACAGCTCTAGGATAAGATGTGTGGTTCCCTCATTGGAGGAGAAGGTAACATTGATTTTGCTAAGAATCAAAGATAGGGATGGAGGGGTTTCTGGTTATTTGGATTACTTTCCATTCCAGTGCTAATTTATAAAGAATCCAATAAACTTTAAAAAGTATACATCCAGAAATGTCATTACGTGCTCTCTTTTCTTTTAAGATTAAAAAAATATATATGTTTTATTGACTTTTTACAGAGAGGAAGGGAGAGGGATAGAGAGCTGGAAACATTGATGAGAGAGAAACATCGACCAGCTGCCTCCTGCACACCCCCTACCAGGGATGTTCCCTTGACTGGAATTGAACCCGGGCCCTTCAGTCCACAGGCCTATGCTCTATCCACTGAGCCAAACCGGTTTCGGCCATTATATGTTCTTATGGCTGTCCTTAAACAAAGTTAGTTCTTTTCATCCTTTTAGATATGTATATTTTTTTCTTTGCAAAAGAAAGGAAAAGTTTGTGTATTTTTTAAAAAGAGAAATAAGAATTAAAGGAAAAGCTTTAACTCTATCTGCAAATGGTGGGAGACTACTTATAGCTGCCAAATAGTCTTAAATCTTGAAGTGGCATCAGATATGTCCCTTTTGACAATTGTTCACTCTTAGTTCCAGTTGTGGTACCACTGGACACCTCCTTTCCTCAACCCATTAGTATCAAACTCCCTGAGGTTTGCCACATTAAAGTGCAGGATTTAGCGTTTGCAATGATATGTGACATCACATCCTCTATTACCGTGTTTCCCCGAAAATAGACCTAGTGCATGGAAAGATAAGACATCCCCTGAAAATAAGACCTAGTGCAACTTTGGGAGAAAAAATTAATATAAAACACTGTCTTATTTTCGGGGAAACAGGGTATATACCTTCAGATACAAGGCCTAATATAATCTAAATTTGTGTTGGGGGGAAAAATCCTCCCTTCCTCTTTAAGTTTTAGCAGAGTCAACCCTTGGTTCTGATCCTAATCCCATTTCTTTCATCAGCTGACGGGGGGACGGGGGAGAGGGGGGTTTGGGTGGGTGGATAGGCAATGAATTGTTTGAGCCATGAAATCATAACCCCCCCCCCAAAAAAAAGAATATATTTCTTAATGTATTAAACACCTGTCCTTTATATCTTTACTATGGACCAGAAAGTAAAGATCATTAAGTATCATATAATTTACTTCAATAATTTTTAAAAGCTAAAAGCTAAGCATTTGGTCATAGTTAACTTCATTAATAAGCCAAGCCAAGCTGGTTTCCTGGTCTCTCTCTCTCTCTCTCTCTCTCTCTCTCTCTCTCTCTCTCCTTTCTTTCTAAAAAGCAAAGCTTACCCCCACTCCCAACCCGTGTCTCTTACCAGCTGTTGGGAAGAGTTGAGAAAGAGAGAGAGAGAGAGAGAGAGAGAGAGAGAAAGGAGGGGGTTGTTAGAGAAGATGAATCCTGGAATAATATAAGATAGAACTTCTTCTTTATTTATTGCAAAACACACGTTACAGTTTATAAACACTGCAAGCAAATAAGAAATTGTGAACCAGAAGATAAATACAAAACATATCAGGATTTTTATTACTATCCAAAATAGAACAAACTCAATATTCTAAACAAGTTGGAATATTTTTAATAGATTTGGTTACTCATTAATTTCTGTATTTGTTTATCTAACTATTTATTCACCTGTCTACCTTAATTTCACCATAGTCATTTTAAATAGAAAATACACAAACCTACTACATTTCTATGGCCAGATTTTGAGATGACAGAGCACCGAACAGCCTATGCATCACAATTAGCATGCCATATTATTAGAAGCAAATCAGATTTCACTGTGCCTACACTGATGTTCTAAGTTTAGAAATAATGTACAATGGTTGAAAATCGGGGATGGGGGACGGGGTTAGAGCAATTTATTTTTAATAAAAATAAATATATTTTTTAATTTTTTCTTTGTTCTTTTTCTTGGTTTAGTACTGGAAATTCAGCACTTTTAAGTAACTATGCTAATCTTAACTACATAACTGCATGGTTTGAGTGCTCATTGGGATTATGGGTCGAGACTGTTTTCTCATGTTATGTGCAATCACAATCACAGAAAAGTGAAACAATCCAGTG